TAGCACCAAGCACAAGACCTCCATTTGCCAGGATCAGGCCAAGGAGGATGTGCGGCCTCGTCTTAACTCGGGAAACTGAGTTGCGCAGGAGGTGAGGCGACTCCACCTCTCACTCCGCCAGATTCGGCCGCCTTGCTAGCGGCCTCCTACACATCTGGGGAGGATGCGAATGTCGCAAGTCCTCGGTACACTTACGAGGATTATGCTGTCCACTTGGTTCCACCGCTGGACCAACCGCTCCACGTGCAAAAATCTACCGCATGCACGGTTTCATCACCATCGACAACCGATTCGGCAGCTTCGCCGTCATCTACCGTCGGGGATTCAACAACATGGTCAAGTCTTGAAGAACTCGACCCGTTGACTTTTGAGGACTTCCAATGGATGCCCCTGCCCCGGTCCAGTCGCTTGCCGAAACCGCATTGCAACGTGCTCAAGGCACAATTGCGAGATTACTTGCACACTGCAGTACCGATTCCGTTGATGGACACCGGAGTAGAGGTTGTCGACCTTCACGCCTACATTGCGAAGATCGACCGCGAGTTCAAGACGCAATGGTACGACGACATCGACGCACCATTGCTATATGTACGCATTCAAATTGGAGAGGTGACCTGCAGCGCTTTGATTGATTGCGGAGCATCTTGCAACTACATGAGTCAGGACTTCATGGTACGCGCCGGCCTTGGCCTACGAGTCCGAAGGAAGTCCCAGCCCACGCAAGTCACATTGGCGGACGGACACACGCACAAGTCAATCGACCGGTGCATTGACGACGTCCCAATGTACTTTTCCCCTCACGCAAGTGAGGCGGTGTCCTTTGACATTCTGGACACCAAATTTGACATGATCTTGGGCATGTCATGGCTGCGAAGCGAGGACCACCCGGTGAACTTCTACCGTCGCACTGTTCACATTCGTGATCGAAATGGAGTACTAGTCCCATGCACGGTAGCTCCTCCTCACCCTTCAGTCAGCTGTCACGTGGTATCCGCCAAAAGCATGCGAGCGTCCATCATCAGAGACGACATCGAGGAGATGGGGGTGTGTTTTCTCCACGCCCTCCCGCCCCAAGACGCGTCATCGACGGACTCATCTTAGGATCCACGCATCACCGAACTTCTCGACGCCTACAGCGACGCGTTCGAAGGCCCGCACGTACCGGATCGGCCCATCCACCACGAGATCATCCTCGAGGACGGGGCCGCACCTCCACGCGGTTGCATCTACCGAATGAGCGAGGAAGAGTTAAGTATGCTTCGGGCACAACTCGACGACCTTCTGGAGAAAGGCTGGATTCGGCCTAGCTCATCGCCATACGGAGCTCCTGTTCTCTTCGTCCGGAAGAAGAACAAGGATTTGCGGTTGTGCATCGATTATCGCAAGCTCAACGCACAGACGATCAGAAACGCCGGCCCTCTCCCACGCATCGACGATCTTCTCGAGCGA